ACTGAGCAGGGGCTCTGAGCCATAAAAACAAAGCCAAACACAGGCCTCAGCTTTAGGGAATTCAAACTCATCCGCTCCTTGTGTTTCCCGACTCCCTCTCCTCTCAGAAAATCTCTTGGAAGAGGCTTTCTCAGATGAGCCAAACGGGCCCTGAGCAGAAACCATGCTGGAATTAAGGGACAAACCTACGAAGTGCTTGGCATAAAGACAGAGAAAAAAGACACTCTTCAGAAAGACCAGGAGCTGTGGAAGCGCACACAACACACGGGAGGACAGGTAAGATTTCCAAGGGATCAGTACTTGGGGAAAAGCTCTTCGGCGGTACCCGAGGAGACATGCAATCAAAGCAAGGATTTCCTAAGTTGGAACAGCTGCGAAAGACAGGTCCCCAGCCTGTTTGAAAGTCAGCCTGTCATCTGGGAATTTTTCCACAGGGACACTGGCAACAGATGAAACCAGACTGAAGCTGGCTGGTGGGTACACAGAGGGTTCTGTATACTCTTCTCTCTACTTTTAAGTGTCTGAAATCTCCCACAATAAAAAGTTTACTTTTAAAAAACGCCCATTAAGGGTGGGAGGGGAAACTCTTCATTATAGACCCCTTCATATCTTTGGAATCTGGACCCTGGGACTATATTAACTATCCAGGAAATAAAAATAAATTACAAAATCAAGTAGCATATAAATACCTAATCACTATGATATACACCTAAAACTAATACAGTATCATAGGTTAATTCTTCAATAAAAACAAAAACCAACTAAAAGACCATATTAACAAAACAATTCTGCTTTCTAAAAATTTCTTCAATCTTACATGCTGTCCTACAAAAAGGTTTCCTCCTAGCCTAAAATTTCAGCAGTGGTTTTAGATAATACGCCAGAAGTCCCTTAACCAAGATCTTCGTCCCCAGAATCTGCTACCCATAACTGCAGCCTTAGGCAAACTCTGCAGGCTGCCCTCTGTAAGCGCCTCATGGGGCCGTTAAAAAGATCAAAGAAGGAACTCCTTGAAAATGCTTCAAAAAAGATAGCATCTTAGACAAACACAGGACGTTATAGTTATCCTCTAGCTCGCACACCAAAGTGATCCCAGTCTTCCTGCAGATTCTGAATCTCCAGCTGGTTCTTGCCCTCAGTGAAGATTGGCTTCGGGTTCTTCTCAAAGCCCCCAAACAAGATGCCACCCTGCCAGTTCCGGATATAAATTCTTCCATCAGCATCCACAATAGCTAAGGAAGAGAAACAACAAGGGAGTGGGGGACAGAAGAGAAAAGCAAGGTTTAGAGGTAGGCCAGTTTTCTAAATGGACAGAAAAAGCAGAACAAAGACACCCATTATTGGCTTTATTAGCAAAAAAGCATCCAGTGAACGCAGACCTTTCGAGGTTGTGGGGGTGGGGGATCTGCCCCCTCAGATTTACAGGGGACCCTGTTTCCCTGATCAGCTACCTAGAAGCTCTGACTGGTGCTCGTAACCAAACTACGGAACTGCCGCAGCACCACATGAAAGCCTAGCAGAAACGGGGGACCACGAGCCCATTCTAGGGGTTGAGACCTTCCAGGAGATGTCAAGCCCTCTCCTGTGGCACTCAGGGTCGTGGAGCAACCTGATTGTAGCTTACCTAGAACCTGTCTGCAACGTATGCCATTCAAGTCAAAAACTCCAGGTTACATTCCAAATTCTCAATTTGGACCTCTGTGTGGGACTGCAATTAGCTTACAAAACAAACCAAAAAATTGCTTCAGTGGAATGTCTGTTTTGTCCATCCTTTCATAAAGAGTTCTTAGAGAAAAGGTAGAACTGGGTCGGCCTCCCCGTAACACGCTCCAGAAGAGACAAGACTCTTTCGAACACAGTCTATCCTGAGCAGAAAGTCTTCCTTTTCAGGGACAGGACAGTGGCAAGGAAACAAGATTAAAAACAAAGTGTAAGTCCTCACTCGGTGTGTTGCTCCGCAGAGGGGTCTCCAAGGGGCGAGTCAGAACGTAGAAGTGTTCGCAGGCGTGTAACGGGATACTAACCGGCTCCTCGTTAGACAGACCCAGCTCGTATGCCCACTACAAACAGACAGATTGATCCGTGGGTGCGAAGAGGAAGAGAAAGACAAATGAGCATATTCAGCCGCTTGCAGGAGTTTAACTGCAAGCGGCCTGTGTGTGCTCTTGCCCCAACGTGAGGCATGGGAAGCCAAGGTTCAGACTGCTTTAGTTATGTGGATGGGGAGCAACACGGTCCTTTTTAAACCATAACAATTATTCTTAGACCAAAGAACAAGAGATTCAGCAACCAATAAAAGGAGCTCACTGGGGGGCAAGTGATGCCCTGTTAACAAAACGCCTGGCCTCGACTACAAACCCCAGATCCCGTCATATGTGACGTCTGCAAGGCAAAAAGTACCCCTAGGTCAGGAGAAGCAGCTTAGTGTTCCTAACTGAATTCACACTGCTGACACAAAAAAAGAGCCCCATGCTTTATTTGCTAGGCTGCAGGATGAAATGAAACACCAGAGGAGACCCAACGCCAAGGATTTCTGTCAGTGCCCGACCATTTCACAGACTTCCTGGCACCCTTTAACCCAGGGTGGAGGAAGGAAAAGGTCATCACTGGTGCTCCTCTCTGAGGACTAGCTACAGGCCTCTGATTTAGAATACAAGAATTCTGGGCACCTGGGTGGCTCAGTTGGTTAAGCGACTGCCTTCGGCTCAGGTCATGATCCTGGAGTCCCGGGATCGAGTCCGGCATCGGGCTCCCTGTTCGGCAGGGAGTCTGCTTCTCCCTCTGACCCTCCTCCCTCTCATGCTCTCTGTCTCTCATTCTCTCTCTCAAATAAATAAAATTAAAAAAAATCTTTAGAATACAAGAATTCTGAGTTTTTAGTCCAAAGAAGGAAATGGTGGTCCCTGACGTCTGCTTAATTCATCACAGTATTAACCTTACATCTCCATACCTAAAATGCCAGAGGTAAAAGTGAAGTGATAAAATCAGTGACCCAGTACTGTGGCTAACCTACCTGACCAGCACAGTTGACAAAATACTGGCACTCGATCTGTCCTTTATCTGTCTCCACACCAGTAACTTGACCTTTCTTGACCATTACATGAAGAATGCTGGTCCGGTCATAGATCTGAACACCTGTTCCAAGGTAAAGAAAGAGTTGGTGAATCCATCCTCTGATGGCCCAGAATTAAGGCCTCTGCAGCAGATTCTCAACCCCCGAGAAATGCTGAAAAAGCCAAGTCAGTGTTTTATTTAAAAAAAAACAAAAACTCCCAGGAACCACATCCTAAGACTGTGTCAATGGGCCTATTCCAAGACTGAAAACAGCAGACAACTTTAGTACAGAACTCAATTCCAGGAATCATAAAACGGGCAGGGGAGAAAAAGTTCAAATAAGGCATCTTAAACCCTAAACCACCCACACCGGGAATCAGTTCATCCAAAGTACAGAGCACCTTGGACACTGGTTAGTCTTCCCCTCATTCATTCCAACCCCAGGACATGACCAGCCGTGGATTCAGTCCATGCTGTGTCTTCTGACCTTGGAGCTTCTCATGTTGGGCTGGGGGGGAGCGGGGGGGGATTCCCTTAAGCTTGAAGTGCACTGGTCAGTACTAAAAGCAGTTCCTCAGAACTTTAATAAGGGAAATGTGGCCCTGAGGAAACACATTTATTAACAAAGGGTATATTCAAACAAACATTCTAAGAGCCGGCGTTCAACAATGGAAGCCGAGCTGGCGTCGCTGCCAGCTGCGACAGCTTCTTCCGTAACCTCTTCCTTCTTCACCCAGAAACCTGCTTACCATTTTGGGAGGCAGCACTTGCCAGGGCAAGAGCCACGTCAGCAGAGGACACTACGGCATCCTCGGGAACATGCATGGCCCCCACCAGGTCGTGCACGTTGAGGAGAGGGTGAAGTTCGGCGACTTTCTTGGGGGAGATGATCTCAGAAGGGATACCTATGACGCTGCCGCAGAACACAAGGGGACAATGACATGCATGGCCCTCTGGCAGACATCAGTCTGACAGGAGCATCGGGACAGGCTTCTAGCCTCATACGTACTTCAGTCTTGAGTTGATGCGCTTCAGGGAGATCAGCCGGTCCTGAGTTTGGGCCAGAAAGACCGAGCCTGTCCTTATGTAACCTGTAAGGAAAACCAGCCCAGACTGAGCAGCCCAGGCCTCCTGCGGGGCCAGGCGGGCGAGCCCACTAGACTACAAGTTCGAAGAGCGGTGAGGAGTCCTGGCACTGCCACCATCCAGACATCCTCAGCTAGGATTTGGGGAGGATCGAGTGGGACTTTCACGTACATCTTAAATAATCACTCTTAAAATAAACACGAGAGATACTGTTGCTACAAAGCCTTTTGGAAGGGAATGTACCCCAAAACCCATCTTCCTCCCCATGGTTTTGGTGGAAGTGTGACCCCCGATGCAGGCCACTCACAACATCGGTGCGGGGCTGGACCCCCCCCACCTCCCCGGCAGAGCCAGGGGGCATGTGGCCGAAGCTCAGCCAATCAGACCCTCCCGGAATACCGGGTCTGGAGCAAGCAGGTGAACGGCTGGAGGCCGATCATCTCAGGAGCAGCGGCGTCCTGGCCAGATGGGCCATTTCCCGAGGGGCTGCCTGCTGTGGGTCCCCCCGGTCCGGCCTCCACGCTGCCTCCTCCAGCTGGCAGCCTCCTGCCAACTCGACTGGCTCCGAAAGCCTTCCAACAAACTCCTTTTTGCCCCAGATGGCCGGAGGCGACTCCTGCTCTTTGCAATCAACATACCTGACACAACCTTGATCATGCTTGGGTCAATGACAATCTTCCTAACATGCAGTGACTCTCAGTTCTGATAATGAAAAAGCTGAATCAATCAGGGTATCTTTTTTAAAAGGCAGCACAGGAGGGTCACTTAAATGTTTTTCTCATCTCTTCTGAAATCATCAGGTAAATATGCCGTTCCCTGACATGACAAGAATGTCTCCGTTTGGAGAACTGAAATTTCAGAGACTGGTTTTTAAAAACTGTAGACAGACCAGGCCAGTGCAGTGATCGTGGCCACTGATGTGGGGGCTTATCACACTCTGAGTCTCACCTGCAGACAAAGGCTTGAGCAGTCAATTCCCACTCACTACCAAACAGTCCCCCTGGGAGGACAGGGCCACCATGCACGAAGCAACATAACACATCACGGCACACACGTGAGGTCAAATCATGCTCTTCCAAACAGAACCACGTGCCATAACAAAAGCCTATCGCCAGTTCACAAGAGTAACAGTCTACTGTTTTCCCACAGAGGTCTTGTAAAGTTTGGTCTAAAGCTTTCTGACATAAAATTTGCTTTATTACAGGTTCAAAGCAATAAAATAGAACCCTTAAGTTCAGTAAGAAAAGAACGTAGACATCTGATACTAAAAAACAAGTCAGAAAAGAAACATGAATGGCCAATAGACCTATGAAATAACGTTTAACTGAAAAAGATGCAAATTGGAATCTGATAACTTTTTCCATCTCTCAGATTAGTAATAATGAAAATAATACCCAATGCTGGGGCGCCTGGCTGGCTCAGTCGGTAGAGCATGTGACTCTTGATCTCGGGGCCATGAGTTTGAGCCTTGTGTTGGGCGTAGAGATTACTTAACAAAAAAAGTAGAATGAAAAATAAAACAATATGCAATGTTGAGAAGACTCTAAAGAAATAAGCACTCCCATATACTGGTGGTAAGAAGGGGCATCTCTTTTGGAGGATGATCTGGCAATACCTATCAGAGTTGAAAATATGAACACTTTTTGCTCAAATTATCAACCTTCTAGAAATCTATCCTTTAGAACTAGCAATAGAAAACAAATATATACTGACAAGGATCTTTACTGCATCATTATAACAACAAAAAAAGGAACTATAAACATCAGGTAATGGGAAATGGATTAAAAAACTGCACATACTATGGCAACTTCCTCTGCAGTTATAAAAAGCAGAATTTTTTAAAGATTTTATTCATTTATTTGAGCGAGAGAGAGGGCAAGCATAAGTGGGAGGAGCAGAGGGAGAGAGTGAGAGAAGCAGGCTCCCCGCTGAGCAGGGAGCCCGATGCGAAACTCGAACCCAGGACACCAGGATCATGACCTGAGCCAAAGGCAGACGCTTGACCAACTGAGCCACCCAGGTGCCCCAAAGCAGACTTATTTATATGAGCTAATTTAGAGAGCCCTCCATAATACACTTATATTTAATGATTATTAAAATGTTTTTGTATTAAAGGAAATAAGAAATAAACATGTAGCAGAGAAGCAATTACCGAAACAAAAGATGGTACAAAAAGTATATGATAAACTGTTAAGCAAAAAGCACCAACAAAAGGTAATGCAAACGGGCGCCTGGGTGGCTCAGTTGGTTAAGCGACTGCCTTCGGCTCAGGTCATGATCCTGGAGTCCCTGGATCGAGTCCCGCATCGGGCTCCCTGCTCGGT